GGAGGGAAGAGATTAGCCTTGGTAGGAGGCTTGGGGCTCCAGAAGCCACACAGGATGTCCTTAAGAGCAGCTGAGTGTAACCAGAGCACCCAGCTCTGCCTCTCCAAATTCCACGACCTGAGACAAGTTCTTCACTTCCTTGGGCCTTGGTTTCCTTGTATGGAATTGAAATAATAACAACGCCTTGTCAGTGTCTTTAGAGCGGTGAGCATGGCACTGCGCGATTATGATCATGTTACATGGAAAGCGGAAGGCAGGAGGCCCGTGTGAATATGGGGACGGATTATTGAGAGTGGAAGAGAAGGCACATAAGAAAGAAAACTCCTCTCAGATGGCCTCAGTACTTGCCTTCCACAAAATAAGAATCAAGGTCAGTGTGGGAGAGCGAGGCTGCACAGTTGAGGTGGGGCTATGGAGGTGTCCCTACAGTGAAGGACAAGTGGAAAGACCTCTGGTTTGCATCACTGGCCTCCACTGACATCTTTTGTCCATGACCCCCTTCACCCGTGACCCTCACGGGGAACACATGTAATTTGTGTCCAGTAGTAGTAAGGACCTGGGTCCACCTTGCTGGGCTACCTCTGATTCCTGGGCCTTCAGCCACCCATGGATGTGCCAAAGTGTTCTCCTCTATAAAATGAGGACATGATTCTTCTGAGATAAGGGTCAGTCACATGCTTTCAAGAGGTTCAATAGTTCTGAGACCTAGGAACATATTACTCTCCTGTTCCTCCTGATGAATGCTGACACCCACTCACCAGCTGGCTGGCCAGAATCACAGACATTGTCGGTTGTACTCCGGCCAGCTAAGCTGGGCAACTAGCCTGATCTATTAGAATGAAAATTCTCATATCCGTAAATACATCATACCACCACTGAGCAGGCATGAAGTATGAACCTTAGGGGAAAAAAATGTAGCTGTCTTTTAAAATCACAAACAGAACAAATTTCTTCTTTCTTGCTATTTTGATTAAAGAAATAAAATAGCAAGTGATGCTGCACCTCTGACATATTACTCACAGGTAAACAGATTTCTGATTGCTTAGGGAACTTCAGTCCAATTGTCTAAATTGCTCTTATTCCACATTAAATTTAATTATTCGTATTTGCTGAATTCTACACAAGGTAAATGTCGCAAGCTGCATAGAGTTAAAATGAAAAACCCATAAAACAAATGGGCATGACATGTATGGGCAGTCAATTAAAAACAGTGATTTAGTACAGTATCTGCTATACTCCTGAAAATTCAATGAAGAAAGAAAAAAATAACTAATATATTTTAAGATGCTCAGTTTTGAATAAAAATTTAAATAAATCGAACATAGTATTTCCATTTCTATGACACTGAAACACTTTTAATAGTTTAAGAGAAGTTTATCTCTACTTTTAATAAACTGATCCTTTTATGAGACTATAAATGGCATTAGATGCTGAGTCTCATGGCATACATAAAACAGACAGAACGTTATTTTAAAGTATGAACTTCAAAGAGATCAACACTAAACTGCTAGAATTAACATTACTAGTATGTTATTTTTAAGTGAATTATGGATTATTTCCCTGGTAGAGTACAGTTAAAATGTGATTTGAATTAATAGGGCATGGCTTCATATTTTAAGACAATCAGTATTGGTAATAAGTAAAGATATTGAATTAATATGGTGAAATACAACTTAATTTTAAAGCCCCATTAAGGGTCTTTACAAATTAACTAAATGCTCATGATTTCCTCCTACCCAGGCCCTCCACCATCTCCTAAAATCAGCACCTCCCCCAAAGTCAGCTCCAGTTCAGTGCTCAGACGCAAAGCCCCAAGGCACCCTTGATTTTATGCTTTCACATTTCAGATCCGAGCCAGCAGTGAGTCCTGCTCTCTCTGCCTTCCACTCCTTCTCCACTTTCAGTTCCTACTCCCCCAACTACTATCTCTATCTCATCCACCAACTTCTGCCTTCCAGCTTCTTTTTTCTTTTTTTGAGACAGAGTTTCACTCTGTCACCCAGGCTGAAGTGTAATGGTATGATCTCGGCTCACTACAACCTCCGCCTCTTGGGTTCAAGCAATTCTCCTGCCTCAGCCTCCTGAGTAGCTGTGATTACAGGCACCTGCCACCACGCCCTGCTAATTTTTGTATTTTTAGTAGAGACAGGGTTTTACCATGTTGGCCAGGCTGGTCTCGAACTCCTTACCTCAAGTGATCTGCCCATCTTGGCCTCCCAAAGTGCTGGAATTAGCGGCGTGAGCCACCTCGGCCTGGACCCCTTCCAGCTTCTATCTTTACTTTTCACTTCTGCTCCTCTCCACTTACAATCAGTACCACTAACTCCTTCCTTCCTCCACCTGATATCTCTACTTTCAATTGCTGCTCTCCCTACTTGTAATCTCCACCAGCTCCGTAAGACACTCACACCACACATAGAAACACACACCACACCTAGAAACACATACCACCACCATCCCCATAACCTGTCTCTACCACCACCATCCCCATTACCACCACACAATAGTTCTTGGTCTGTAAAATTTCTAAAGTCCTGCAGAGAAAACACTTTTGGGTTCCTCTACCAACAAGCAGTCAGTGCTCCTTGGTTAAGCCCTGATGTGACTCTGGACGAAGCACCGTCTCCATTGTCCAAGTCTCTGGGCTGGGCTTCTCCTGTCCCCACCTGGAATACGTCTGAAAGTGAAATGGGCCTTGGGGAACACACCCCACTCCCCCCGGGAGACATACAGTTTCCTCAACATGCTTCCTCCTCATCCTCGTGGAAGGTCAGGGACCAAGGATTATTTTAGGTTAAGGACAGGAATGGGCTTTTCTTACCTTGATTTCCTTGGCAGCAGAACCCCGTCAGAAACTCAGTAGACTTCCAGTCCGTTGGCTCACAGTCAGTCCCATGTGCCCACAGCTCACTTAGCGAAGCTCTCAGATCCCTTTCTTTGTTTTCCATTCCCATTTCTCATCTCTCACTCTTAGGTCAAAGATACCCTCCCTAGGCTGCAGAGCTCTGGTGGAAAGGCCCCACCTGTAATCTATTCTTTCAGAAATTTAATCAGATTACAGGTGTTCAAAAATCTCAACCCTTAATTCTGTGGGCTAAAAGTAGTTTTTTTTTCACACGGAGAGGTCCAAATTTCTGGATTTCTGTGTTTTTTATTTCCTTTTACAAATAAGCTAATCTGTCTGTATAAGCTCAACCTCTTTCTTGTAATGCATTATCACAATGAACCTATATTGACCCAAACAAGCTATATCGTCCTGCTTAAGTGCAAGAAGGGCTGGGCGATATTGGGAACACACTTGCAGACTCAGCGATCCACACAGCTGGTTGTCAAATTACTTTCCTAAATGTCCTTATCAATTCACATTTCTTCCAGCGGTAGGTAAGAGATTGCCTATCTGCATTCTTCAGGCATTTGGCTTTATCACTTTCTTTTTTGCTTTTGTTATTCTCACAGGTCTGGGCAACAAACTTTAAGCTCCTCAAAGATTGGAACCATGTCTTCCTAATTTTTATGCTTCCAACTACTGGCAACTGAAATATACTTGAATGTTGATATAATGAATGTATATAAATAAATGAATGAATGGTAGGATTACTCATCTGTTTTCAGTGTAAACATTTATGAGTTCCAAGAATGCACATATTAAAGCACCTACCCCAAGACTTTGATCATAACAAAGCTTTTCTATAACCTTCCTCAGATCTCTTGGAAAACTGTGCTTTTGTGGCTTTAGCCAGAATAACAACCAATCAACAAAAAGCAACTTCCAGCCCCATGACCCTCACCACAGCTCCATTGTTTATGAAGCAGTTGAAGCAAATCAATTCAGCACTTCGTATTTCAGTTCTCTCCCCTGTATGATGAGAGAGATGGTACCCAGTAGACATGAATAACGAATAGAAAGCAACTGGAACACAGATAACTCAATGCATGCTAATAAAGTCCAGTTGATTTCTATATATGGGAAGCATTTTAAGTAGCTGCCACAATTTTATGTCTAAAAGCAGAGTAATGCTTCAGGAAGAACTAATGGACCTTAAAGAGAATCTGAGGAGCACACCTCCCTGACAGTGACCTCCTGATCTGCAGAAAGACAATCTCTCTCTCTCTTCTTCACTCTCTCTCTCTCTTTCTCTCTCTCTCTTTCTTTTTCTCTCTTTCTCTGTCTCTCTCACCTCTAACTCTACTATTCCAAATTAGGATCCAGTTCCTCATATGTGTACTTTACCACTTACATCTGATCTTCAAAATCACCCTATAGGCCAGGCATGATGGCTCACCCCTGTAATCCCAGCACTTTGGGAGGCTGAGGTGGGAGGATCACTTGAGGTCAGGAGTTTGAGACCAGAATGGCCAACCTGGTGAAACCCTGTCTCTACTAAAAATACAAAAAATAGCCGGGTGCGGTGGCACACACCTGTGATCTCAGCTACTCAGGAGGCTGAGGCAGGACAATCACTTGAACCCAGGAGGCAGAGGTTGCAATGAGCCGAGATTGTGCCACTGCACTCCAGCCTGGGAGATAGAGTGAGACTGTCTCAAAAAAAAAAAAAAAAAAAAAAAAGAAAAAGAAAAAAAATCACCCTATATAGGCAATGTTTAGATTAGATCATAGGCAAAGTGGGGATAAATAAAAATCCCAAGCCACAGTGTCCTCATCAGTATCACAATCAGCTGAAATATATGCAGTACGAAGTGCAATGCTAGTGTAATGTTTGTGGAACACTGTATCATTTCCAATCAGTAAAGACTATTTAATTAAATTAAAATTAATCAAATAACTATCACATTTTATTAAATGCATATAATATAAACTTGCATTGACAAATAAATTTAAGTTGTGTTCAAGCCATGCTGAATTCTTTATTAGCAAATAATCAAAAATATTTTCCACATTGGAACATTATTAAATGAAAGTAAAATATATGTTAAGAACTAGTATTGCTATAAATATATATGCAACAGTAGAAACTAGTCATATGTATACATGTGTTTATTTCAGTATTCTGAGTAGGATACATATACAACATTAATCTTACTAGAGATTAAAGCTGATGAAATGAAATGTATCTTTATGAATGTATATACATTTGCAAACAACCACGCTAAATACATGGAATACAAGAATTTTCATTGGCTATTTATTCAGTCGCTTCTATTTCTTCTATTTCTAGAAGTTATCTTCTATTTCTTCTAATTTTACAAATTCCTTGATAAATTTCCAAAGTCCCCTTAAAATACAAAAGAAATGAATATCATACGTTAGAAAAAAAATACATTAAGCAGGAAAGAAATTTTCAAAATAAACATCTATTTCAGACACATTTACCCAAAAACAGACAAGATGAGACTTTGTAATTATTTACTTTTTTAAAACAGATATTTGTATGGAGTTTTGGCCTTGAATGTAACAGATCCTCTAAATAAACAGATGTATTCTCCTGTAGCATATGGTATGGCAGGGAAGGTAGGTGTACCATGAGCATAATGATAGACTTTAGGTCCATTCACTCTCATTGCCAAGGCCGTGGGAGGTGCTTCCCAGTTTTTTATTTGTAACTCTATTCCCTCTTTTTAAGAACATCCTACATGATATAAGAGACCGCAAAACCTCCATTCACCTATACGGCTCACTCAGCACTCTATCCAATCCCTTTCTCCCATGGCTTTGTCTGCCCCATAAGCTGGAGAGTGGGGTGCTCCATGTTCTGGCCTCTCTTACAGCTTAGAGTGGCCTTCGCCCATGGTGCTGGCCAATGAGACGTGGTGGGAGCACCTGGAGAGAATTGTCCCTCCTGAATAAACTGGAAAGCCTCAAATTGAGAAGCTCTTTGCCTTCTGTCCTTCACCTTTCCCTTTCTTAATCCACGGAATGTGGACAGGTTAATGCCTGAAGACAGCCATATTGAGACTCTAAGGAGGCAGCAGCCACATTCAAAGGAAAGCAAAGAAGACAGGTGAGGAGCCCAAGCTCCTTAATGATGCCATTGAGCCCAAGCCACCTACATCTAAAAGTCTTTCCCTCTGATTAAGAAAAAAAAAAAAAAAAAAAAAAAAAAAAAAAAGCCTTTCCCTCTAAATCAACATATGGTTTTCCATTGCTCTTAATACCAAATTCTGAGATTCAAACTACAGTACCAACTCAGAGAAAAGTAACTGTGTGAAGGTGAAGTCTAAGCTTGTAATAGAAATAATAAGTTTATACCAATATTATAACTGTAGTCATAAACAAATGATATAAATCAGCCGCTCACTTTTTAAACTAAAATTTTCAGAGTAATATATGTATAGGGGTTTTCAAAGTGTATCGTCACTAAAAGCCGTATAATTGGAGAAAATAAAGCCATGCCTCCCTATTTTCCTGATTCCTGGCCATGAGAATTCACCTTCACCTCCAACTTTATCTAATAAATTTATTTCCATATTACCAAAGAGTACAGATTGAGATCTAAATCTTAGAGTGAGCATTCCAAAGCATGGAAAAAGGATGCAACATGTGTATTTAATGTAAGCATTTGTGAGTGTGAACCCTTCAAAGGTCTGTCTAGTCTAATCTAGTTTTGAATAACTGATCTTGAGAATAGCGTGATACTACTCTAGTTCTTTTATCATGATGTCAATGCTTACTCCTGCCCCTCTTCAGTGATCCTTCCCATGGTCTTCTTCACGTTGCTTTCAATAACCTGCAAAGAATTATCATCATTGGGTCATGCTTATTACATAGGACAAGCAGGCAGTAGAGGAAATATTTTTATTGATAAACATTGATTCACACAAAAAAAACTTACTTTTATTTTCTTCTTTAACATTGTATTTTCCGTTTCAAATTTTATAACTTCTTGCTAGAGGAGAAGTGGTTTGAAAAGCAATAGACTTGGTTAAAAATATTCATTAACTATTTTTCTCTATTTAACAAGATTATGTGAATAATGCTATAATTTCAAGAATACTCAATAGCACACTACTTAAAAACAGATGAAGAAACAAAGCATAAAATGAAGGACAGTTGATGAGAAGGAAACACCCTGGTCCTCTGAATAAAAAACCAGAAGAGGTAGAAATTAATGTTTCAAAATATCAGAAAATTTTAGAAGAGGAAATTCCAGAAGAGTTATTTACTTTGAAAAACTAATGAGAGAACTTGTTAAGGTTACTGGAAAAATCTAAAAATACAAATATCAATAAATCACACATATATCAGCAATAACTGAGTGTAAACTGTAATGGAAATTTTCAAATGACTAGTTATAACAGTAATACATCCCAGAAACTCTTAAGAACAAACATAATTATTTTGCACCAAGGTATAAAAATAAATTAAATAAGCACAAAATAATCCCAGATAGGGGTATTAATATTGTAAAGCTGTCACTTCCTCCCAAATGCATTTATGAATTCATTGTAAGCACAATCAAAATACCAGAAGTATTATTATCAAAACTTCAAAAATTAGTCAATAGTGTTAATGAGAATATTCAAGATAATTCTGAACAAAGTAAAGATGGTGAGAGGGTATAAAGACTTGCTCTTTCAGATATTAGATGTGTTGAGAAGGATTAGCAATTTTAACACTTAGGCTTAATGGGGTATTATTAAGAACCAAGGCTGAGTTTCAATACTAAGTCTACTGCTTGTTAACTGTGACCTCAATCAAGTTACTTAACAGATTTGCAACCCATTTCCATACTTCAAAAAGAGAATGAATACTACAATCTATCTGTTAGAATTGCTGCAAATTAAATAAAATTGTATTTTTTTAATGTTCATAAAAGTGTCTGATGCATTGTGAATCCTCAAAACATTTATCTCTCTCTGTTTTTGTTTTTGTTTTTGTTTTTTTTCCTGGTCGGAAATTGCCTATTTCAAATCTAGAACCAGATACCAATTACATAGCAGAATAACAATGGCAATTCTGTTGTATTTTCCAGTATTTGAATTAAGAAGCCAAATGTAAATAAGAAGTAAATTAATATAAATTAGTGATATGGAATCTTCATAGGGAGCTTTCTATTCCTTAGATTTATCTAATAAGGTTTTAATTATAAAAGAAAAGTTTGAATGATTTTGACATTATATCATGCTTTAATATTTAAAGTTAGAGCTCATTATTTTTTAAAAATACAATTATAAATTGATGTTTGTTCTGAGGGCATTTATTTATTTTTTTAAGAAATAAAAGAGAACAAATCCTAAACAAACAAACAAACAAACAAAATCTTCAGGAATGGGCCAAGATGGCTGACTAGAAGCAGCTGCTGTCAGCAGTTCCCACTGAGAAGAATGAAAATGGTAAGTGACTCCTACACAGCTGAGGTATCCAGTTTCTCTCACTGGGACTGACTAGGTGTTTGGCACGACCCACAGAGAGCAAGAAAAAGCAGGGTGAAGAGGTGACCCACCTGGAAGCTGCAAGGGGGAAGTGGAACTTCCACTCCCAGCCAAGGAAGGCAGTGAGTGATTGTGCTCTACTGCCCAGGAAACCATGCTTTGTCCACAGATATGTGCAACCTACAGATCAGAAGATCTCCTCATGAGTCCACACCACCAGGGTCTTGGGTTCCAAGAACAGAACCACTCAGGTTGCCAAGTTCCCTACAGGGAGGGGCAGCCAGTATCACTGTGGCTGTCTGCTGCCTAAGACAACAAAGTCCCTGCGGGGAAGGGGGGCAGCCATCACTCCATCTCCAGTCTGCTGTTTTCCCCAGCTGGTGTCAGACAGACTGGACAGTTTGGACAGGGAGGAATTCCCCACAGCACAGCACAGTGGCTTTGTCAGACTGTGGCCAGACGGCTTCTTTAGTTGGAATCTGGATCTATTCCTCCTCACCAAGTGGGGCCTCCCTGTGGAAATTTAAGCAAATCCAGCCAGGGGTTTATGAACAGAACTCTGATCTCCCTGGGATGGAGCCCCTGGGGCGAGGGGTTGCTGTGGTCTCTGGTTCAGCACACTTGGTCTTTCCTGTCTGCTGGCTCTGAAGAGGCCAGTCAGTCTGGATAAGGGGGATTCCCCCTGGCACAGTGGACCTGCTCCACCAAGGGTCAGCCAGAGTGCTCTCTTAAGCAGATCCCTAATCACATGCCTCCTAACTGGCTGATACTTTCCAACAGGGATCGCTAGACACCTTATACAAATGCATGCCTGTTGTAATTAGGCTGGTGCCCTTATGGGACAAAGTTCCCAGAGGAAGCAGCAGCTAGCAATCTTTGCTGTTTTGCAGACTCCATTGGTGACACCTCCAGGTACTGGAGGGACCCAGGTGAATAGGGTCTGAAGTGGACTCCCAGCAAACTGCAGCAGCCCTATGAAAGAGAGGCCTGTTAAAAAAGCAAACAAACAGAAAGCAACAGTAACAACATCAACACATAAGACCTCAACAAAACCCCATTAAAAGGCCGTCAGCCTCAAAGATCAAAGATAGATAAGTGCATGAAGATGAGAAAGAATCAATGCAAAAACGCTTAAAACTCAAAAAGCCAGAGTTCCTCTTCTCCTCAAAATGATCTCAACACCTCTCAACAAGGGCAAAGACCTGGGCTGAGGCTGAGATGGATGAACTGACAGATGTAGACTTTAAAAGGTGAGTAATAACAAAATTCACTGAGCTAAAGGAGTATGTTCTAATCCAATGTGAAGAAACAAAGAATGATAAAACATTACAAGAGCTGTTAGCCAGAATAACCAGTTTAGACAGGAACATAAATGACCTGATGGAGTTGAAAAACACAACTCAAGATCTTCATAATGCAACCACCAGTATCAGTAGCCAAATAGATCAAGTGGAGAAAATAATCTCAGGGAAAAAAAGAATGAAAGGAATAAACAAAACTTCTGAGAACTATGGGATTATATAAAAATACTGAATCTAATTAGTTCAACCACTGTGGAAGACAGTGTGGCAATTTCTCAAGGACCTAGATATAGAAATTCCATTTGACCCAGCAATCCCATTACTGGGTATATACCCAAAGAACTATAAATCGTTCTACTATAAAGACACATGCACACATATGTTCATTGCAGCTCTGTGTACAACAGCAAAGACCTGGAACCAACACAAATGCCCATCATTGATAGACTAGACAAAGAAAATATGGTACATATAATATGGAATAAATAAATATGGAATATGACACAACCATAAAACATGATGAGTTCATGTCCTTTGTAGGGACTTGGATGAATGTGGAAACCATCATTCTGAGACAGAAAACCAAACACCACATGTTCTCACTCATAGGTGGGTGCTGAACAATGAGAACATGTGGACTCAGAGAAAGGAGCATCACACACTGGGGCAGTTGTTGGGGATAGGGAAGAGACAGCAGGAGGTGGGGAGGGATAACATGGGGAGAAATGCCAGATATAGTATGCACCTAAAGTTAAATAAATAATTTAAAAAAAAAATACTGAATCTACTGCTAAGGGGCATACTTGAAAGAGACAAGGAGAATGGAAGCAAATTTGAAAACACACTTCAGTATTTCATCCAGGAGAATTTCCCAACCTAGCAAGGCAGACCAACATTCAGATACAGGAAATCCAGTGAACTCCAGTAAAATACTACATGAGAAGATCCCAATAAAAATAATCATCAGATTCTCAAAGGTCAAAATGAAGGAAAAAAATGTTAAGGGCAGCCAGAGAGAAAAGCCAGGTAACCTACAAAGGGAAATCCATCAGATTAATAGCATACCTCTCAGTGGAAACCTTACAAGCCAGAGAGATTAGGGGTCAACACTTAACATTCTTATGGAAAAGAATCTGCAACCCAGATTTTCATATCCAATCAAACTAAGCTTCACAAGCAGACGAGAAATAAAATCCTTTTTAGACAAGAAAATGATGAGGGAATTTGTCACCACCAGACCTGCCTTACAAGAGCTCCTGAAGGAAGCACTATGGAAAAGAAATCCATTACCAGCCACTACAAAAGCACACTAAAGTACACAGACCAATAACACTATGAAGCAACTACATTAGCAAATCTGCAAAATAACCAGCTACCATCATAATGACCGGATTAAATTCACACATAATAATATTAGCCTTAAATGTAAATGGGCTAAATGCCCCAATCAAAAGACAGAATGGCAAGCTGGATGAAGAGTCAAGACTTATCAGTTTGCTGTACACAAACAACCCATCTTATATACAAAGACACACATAGGCTCAAAATAAAGGGGTGGAGAATAATTTACCAAGCAAATGGAAAGCAGAAAAAGTCAGGGGTTGCAATCTTACTTTCTGAAAAACAGATTTTAAACCAACAAAGATCAAAAAATAAAAAGAAGGGCATTACATAATGGTCAAGGGTCCAATTCAACAAGAAGAGCTAACTATCCTAAAGATACTTGCACTCAATATAGAAGCACCCAGATTCATAAAACAAGTTCTTAGAGACCTACAAAGTCTCTAATAATAGTGGAAGACTTTAACACCCTGCTGTCAATATAAACCAGATCATTGAGACAGAAAATTAACAAAGATATTCAGGACTTGAAATCAGCTCTGGATCAAGTGGACCTGATAGATATCTACAGAACTCTCCATCCTCAAACAAGAGAATATCCATTCTACTCAATGTCACATGGCACTTATTAAAAAATTAATCACATAATTGGAAGTAAAACACTGCTCAGCAACTGTAACAGAACTGACATCATAACAAATAGTCTCCTAGACCACTTGCAATCAAATTAGAACTCAAGATTAAGACACGCACTCAAAACCACACAACTACATGGAAATTGAACAACTGCTCCTGAATGACTCTTGAGTAAATAATAAAATTAAGGCAGAAATCAAGAAATTATTTGAAACTAATACGAACAAAGAGACATCAAAGAGACCAATATCTCTGGGATTTGGCTAAAGCAGTGTTAAGAGGGAAATGTATAGCACTAAATGCCCACATCGGAAAGTTAGAAAGATCTCAAATCAACATCATAACATCACAACTAAAAAACCAAGTTCAAACGAACCCCAAAGCAAGAAAAAGACAAGAAATAACCAAGATCAGGGCAGAAGGGAAAGAAATAGAGACCCAAAATCCTCTCAAAAAAAATAAACAAATCCAGGAGCTGGATTTTTGAAAAAATTAATAAAATAAATAGACTGCTAGCTAGATTAATGAAGAAGAAAAAAGAATCAAATAGACAAAATAAAAAATGATAAATGTAATATCACCACTGACCCTACAGAAATGCAAACAACCATCAGAAAATGCTAAAACACCTCTATGCAAATAAACTAGAAAATCTAGAACAAATGGATAAATTTCTGGACACACGCACCCTCCCAAGACTGAACCAGGGAGAATTTGAATTCCTGAATAAACCAATAATGAGTCCTGAAATTAAAGCAGTAATAAATAGTCTACCAATTAATATATATATATATATATATATATATCCCAGGACCAAATGAATTTACAGCTGAATTTTACCAGAGGTACAAAGAGGAACTGGCACTATTTCTTCTAAAACCATTCCAAACAAAAAGGAGGGACTCCTTAATTCATTTAATGAAGCGCACATCATCCTGATACCAAAATCAGCATGCACAAGACAAGGATACCCTCTCTCACCACTCCTATTTAACATACCATTGGATGTTCTGGTCAAGGCAATCAGGCAAGATAAAGAAATACAGGGTATTTAAATAGGAAGAGAGAAAGTCAAATAGTCTCTGTTTGTAGATTACATGATCCTATATCTAGAAAACCCTATCATCTCATCCCCAAAGCCTCTTAAGCTGATAAGCAACTTCAGCAAAGTCTCAGGATACAAAATCAATGTGCAAAAATTCCAAGCAGTCCTGTAACCAACGATACACAACAGAGAGCAAAATCATGAATGAACTCCCATTCACAATTGCCACAAAGAGAACAAAATATCTAGGAATACAGCCAACAAGAGAAGTGAAGGACTTCTTCAAAGAGAACTACCAACCACTACTCAAGGAAATCAGAGAGGACACAAACAAATGGGAAAACATTCTATGCACATGCATAGGAAGAATCAATATCATGAAAATGGCAATGTTTCCCAAAGTAGTTTATATGTTCAATGCTAATCCCAATAAACTACCCTTAACATCCTTCACATAATTAGAAGAAAAAAAAACTACTTTAAATTTTATATGGGAACAAAAATAATCCCTTACAGCCAACACAATCCTAAGCAAAAAGAAGAAAGCTGGAGGCATCATGCTGCCTGACTTCAAACTACAACAACCAAAATGATACAAACCTACAGTCACCTAAACAGCATGGTATTGGTTCAAAAACAGACATATAGACAAATGGAACAAAATAGAGAACTCAGAAATAAGATTGTACACCTACAACCACCTGATATTTGACAAACCTGACAAAAATAAGTAATGGGGAAAGGATTCCCTATTTAATAAATGGTGCTGGGATAACTAGCTATCCATATGCAGAAAACTGAAACTGTACCCCTCCCTTACACCTTATACAAAAATTAACTCAAGAAAGGTTAAATACTTAAATGTAAAACACAAAACTATAAGACCCTAGAAGAAAATCTAGGCAATAACATTCAGGCTATAGGCATGGGCAAAGATTTCATAATGAAAACATCAAAAGCAATTGCAACAAAAGCAATGGAATCTAATTAAACTATACAGCTTCTGCATAGCAAAAGAAACTATCATCACAACTAACAGACAACCCACAGAATGGTAGAAATTTTTTGCAATCTATCTATCTGACTAATGTCTAATATTAAGCATCTGTAAAGGACTTAAACAAATTTACAAAAAAAACCTCAAACAGCCTCATTAAAAAATGGGCAAAGGACATGAACAGACACTTCTCAAAAGAAGATACACATGTGCCCAACAACCATATGAAAAAAACTCAGCATCACAGATTATCAGAGAAATGCAAATCAAAACCACAATGGCATACCATTTCACAGCAGTCAGAATGGCAATTATTAAAAAGTCAGGAAACAACAGATGCTGGCAAAGTTGTGGAGAAATAGGAATGCTTTTACATTGTTGGTGGGAATGTAAGTTAGTTCAATCATTGTGGAAAACAGTGTGGCAATTCCTCAAAGATTTAGAACTCAAAATACCATTTGACGTAGCAGTCCCATTGCTGGGCATATACCAAAAGGAATATAAATCATTCTATTATAAATATACATGTATACCTATATATTCATTGCAGCACTATTCCCAATAGCAAAGATATGGAATGAACCAAAATGCCCATCAATGATAAACTGGATTTTTAAAATGTGGTACACTATGGAATACTATGCTGCCGTAAAAAGGAATGACAGCATGTCCTTTTTGGGGTCACAGATGGAACTGGAAGCCATTATCCTCAGCTAACTAATGCAGGAACAGAAAACCAAATATCACATGTTCTCACTTATAAGTGGGAGCTGGACAATGAGAACACATGGACACAGGGAGGGGAACAACACACACTGGGGCCTGTCAGGGAGGCAAAGGGAAGGAAAGCATGAGGAAAAATAGCTAATGCATGCTGGACTTAATACTAGGTGATGGGTTGACAGGTGTAGCAAATCACCATGGCACACATTTACCTGTATAACAAACCTGCACATCCTGTACATGTACCCTGAAACTTAAAATAGACAAAAATACAAAATCAAAAAAGTAAAAAAAGTAAAACCTTACCCTTTTGAAATAAGGCTAGAACAGTAAAATTATTTCATCCAGTAATATTTCATTCCTGTAACAATAAACTATATGGTTTCCTCTATCTTTAAATAATTTTCTTCTGAAACAGGGGTCAACAAACTAATCAAGCCAGCCACCTGTTTCTGTAAATAAAGTTTTATTGGCACACCGCATGCCCGCCTCCAAAAAAGAAAATCTGAACATATTATTTTAGAAGAGAATGAATTTTTAATAAAAAAAAAATTTGGACCATTAATGCCTTTCCATATGCAGCATAATTCTGCTAAAAAGAATAAAAGTAGGCTGGAATATAGTTAATTATAGAACCACAAGGAAATAAAATCTTGTATTTCTTATATACTCTATAACTAGAGGTTACACTGAGTTAGATTCTTACACAATTTTAAATTATGTCTTTAATTTTTTAGCTTTTATGGATTTAGGGGTACAAGTGCAGTTGTATTACATGGATACATGTGCAATGGTGGGCTTTAGTGCAACACCACCCAAATAATGTACAGTATACCCAGTAGGTAGCATTTCATCCCTCATCCCTCCTTCCACAGTCCCACATTCTGGAGTCTTCAATGTCTATTATTCCACTTTATATGTCCATGTTACTCAAGAAAAATAGGTTTTGGCTATTAACAGAAATCTACAGAATTTTTATCACATTCCTTTTTTCTTGTTTTAGATAGATCTCTTAATTGTTGTGATTATTTGCTAACATTTTTAAATAAAAAGTATACTTAAGCTAAATGTTTTTATTCTTTTTACCCTATTACCAAATCAGATTACTTCATGTGTTTGTCAAGATCTTCAAGCCAAAGAACAATGTAAATATTTAAATAAATAAGTTGCATACCTCTATGCTTTTAATTTTATTCTCAATGATATCTGAAACTCCAATATGTACCAAAGTTGTTTTAATTTCTTTTTCCAGAGCTTGTATCTCATCCCACTTATTGAGTATTTCACACCTCTTCTTTTCAACCTTCTCAATAAGAGTAAGTTGGTTCTCATCAATTATATGTTTCTTAGATGATTCTGGAAGTATTTTTAAAACAAAGCATTACCATCATTGATATCTCAGTTATTATTAATAGCATTTATGTATTATTAACAGTATTATCTATACTATGATATATATAACCATAAAATATCATATAATTCAAACTTGAAGAGTGTCAATAAAAATAATCTGACCCAAGAATGAGGGTATTACTCCTTTAATTCCTTCAGCTAATCAATATGTATTTGTTGAACACATGCACTGAACTAAGTAGAATGGTTCTATGATGGATTGGCCTTTTCCAAAGTGTGTGATTAACAGTGTAAACCAACAAGAAACCACAAGAAAGTGACGATATGGTGGCAGAGTAGAAGGTGCAATGGTATGACAAAGCAAGGACATTGGACACAGTATGAGGAAGGCTCAAGGATGACTTTGACAGAGTAGCAATGGTGGAAACTCCTGATAAGACCATCAGATCTTGTGAGATTTATTCAGTACCACCAGAACAGTATGGGGGAAATTGCCCTCATGATTCAATTATCTCCTACTGGGTCCCTCCCACAACACGTGAGAATTATGAGAGCTACAATTAAAGATGAGATTTGGATGGGGACACAGAGCCAAACCATATCAGGATAGCAGTCCCAGCATGAAGAGAAGTGAAAAAAATCCAAAAACTATTTAGTAAATAGAATGGAAAAAATAGAACTTAGTAATTAACTAGATCTGGCAATGTAGAGAAGAAGGCAATGTCAAAAATAAGCCATAGGTTTTAGCTCAGTTGTAGCTAGAAAGAAAACAATGAGTTCAATGAAGCACGGAGGTAAGAAAGAACTTGTTTCAATCTCAACTTGGCCAAATATTCCAAGCTGCGTAGGGAGAGGTTGAGGGGGAGGACAATGAAAGTTGCCTAGTACATGTTTTATGACTCATAGCTCCATGTATTTGGTGATACCATCCACTGAAACAGCCAGGGAGATGCCAAGTTAGAGAAGGAGACGATGAGTTTAATCTCGGACATGCTGAGATACCTATGAAACACACAAGAGACCGTGTCTAGTACTTACTTGGATATACAGATCTCAAACAAACAACAACAACAACAAAATAGAAGAAGGGTTTTTAGCAGAAAAAATAGATTTGGAATTTTTAAAAATGCCAACTCTTCCAAAGAGATGCTGGACTCCAAAGAATATCAACATTTAAAGAGGACAGAAGGGAAACGGAGTCATCAAGTGATCCACTGCCAAGGCCCACTTGTCATCAGTCGGCACAGTTATACACTGATTGGAGTGGTGAGACTTCATTATTTTGAGAAAAAACAATTACTACTTTTCAATGGGAACAAAGCAGTGAAAAATATTAATAATGCTTACTTGTAGATAGGAAACAAGATGAAAGTCATTGCTGTCATTCAACTTTGCCAAATTTGGAAGAAGGAAAAACTTTGATATTAAATTTGGAAATTTGGGGGAATTAGTTAAGTAGACACATGATGAGCTAGCTAAGGGGATAGAAATGGTCATAGTTAAGCCTCTACACAAACAGAGAGAAACTACAACATAGAGTGTTTGGCCCCCACCTTAATCTAAACTGAAGGTTTCAACCTAAAACCATCAGCTGATGTCAAAGAGACCAAAAGCAGTGTCAAGCCAGGTGAGTGACCTCCACACTGGTCCCTTTTCTAAAAGCCCTCAAAAAATAGGTATGAAAATGGGGACGACATTCAACAGCAAATGTGTATGATTAGAAGAGCAGGCTTCTGAGACAGAAGGCTTTGGGAAAAGATAAAGCAGGAAGAACCAGGGTCACCAGGTTTGATCCACTGCAGTCAGTGATGAGAATAGTGGGCTAGGATCAAACATGAAGCAAGGTCACTAGAGTTCTAGAAAGTGAGTCACTGCATCTTATTTTTATTCATCGTTACCATTTTTCTTATTAGTGGCTAGCAGTAAAGCCCTTAAGTTTCTGCTTTTTTTGGTTTTTTGTTTCATTTTTAAATCGTGGGCCTGTTTTAAGAGAAAGCAGGAAAACAGAAAACACCAAGCGTGGGTCCTATTCCATGGGCTGCCTGCAAGAGGAACCCTACAAAGAACGAACAACATGATGGAAGAAGGGGGAAAACAGACCTTTGACCCCTGAGAAGGGGAGGATGGAAGGAGAAGCCGAGTCAGCCTGGGACAGAGAGCGGGTGTGGCAAGGGCATGCAAATCAGGCCACAGAAAACCTGTGAAAGGACATCCAGCATGGTTAACACCATCCGTGCTACACACTGGGGTCTGTTGGGAAGAAATAGGGGAGGGACAGCGAGGGGTGGGAGGTTGGGGAGAGAGATCATGGGGAAAATGCCAGATAGAGGTGATGGGAAAGAAGGCAGCAAATCACACTGCCACTGCCACGTGTGTACCTATGCAACAATCTTGCATGTTCTTCACATGAACCCCAAAACCTAAAATGCAATAAAATAAAAAAATAAAAAAAAAAAGAAAAGAAGGAACAGGCGGAAGCGGGAAAAGGCAGTAAAAGCATTCTCGCAAGGACCTTTGAGGCCAAGCTCTACTAAGAACTTAAAACGGGCTGGGCCTGTGAGCATATCCTACAAGACACTGAGAAAAAATATCTAAAAAATATCATATTAGAAAAAATATCTAATATGAGTGAGTGTTTAACAAACTCAGAGGGAAAATGGCATTTCATTTCACAGTTGGAAAATAGCCAGGGTTAATGAGCAAGATACTTAAACTTACTTTTATCATTTAATTGCACTCCAATTGTATACATTTAAATTAATTTTAATATCTATTTCATGCATAAATATTCATAAAACATAATTAATTCCCCACAAAATGCATATTTTTCCTCACAAGTAATAATAAAAAAGATGAGTAAGAAACAGGCAGTGACCACCACATGCCAGGCCCGGTGCTCTTGGGTGATGTGGGTGAACACGTTGAATTCTCGCCGCAAAACTCAGAAGGAGCTCCAGAATGGCTCAGTTGACAGACAGGTAGCCAAGGCTGCAGCAGCTGAAATAATGAAGGTCACAGCAAAGCACCCATCAGCAGGACATCACATAGACACTCGCCTGATCGTTTCTTCGCAGACTGCAGCAATGCCCGCTCTATCGCCAGTTCACTCCTGAGTCTACAATGTGATGATAAAAAATAGGGAAATATTAGATCCCCTTTAATCTTTTTTCTTTTGTCTGTTACACCTCAAGTCTTTTATAGTTGAGAAATTAAAATAAATCTGCTTACGTTCTAACACAGCAGATACTCTGAAGGTATTTATTAAATGACAGCCTAAATCAGCCAAGTTAAACAAACAAAATAATACTTTCTCACCAAGATTCCAAATGCCATTAAAGAGTTAGTTAATTTAAAGTAAATGATTTCCTAGAGAGTTTATTTGTATTTTTTGTTCATGGAATTGCTAAGAAGGAAGAAGGCAAAAAACAAACAAACAAAAAGCAAACCCAGCTTTTTACCCTGAAAGGCAAACACCAGGTCAAGGGCTGTGGAAAGACGTCTCTGATGCTGGAATACACTGCATCTTTGCTGTGTATTATCATTCTGGGCAACAGATATAATTTACACATTTCACAATGTTTGAATTAAAAATAAAATACAAGAAACTTTTTTAAAAAAGGGAAAAAAACTTCTTTGTTTCCTCTTCTTGGTTCAGAATAACCTAAATCAACTATCTTATGTTTTACAGATTTAAGGAGAAGACAAAAAGGAGTCTAATAAGTATTACATATATTGAGGACAATACTGTGATTTGATTTAAGACATCAACATGCAAATAAGTTAATACCACATATCTACAAAGGGCCTAACAGTTTAAGATTTTTACACATATCAGTTCATTTCATCAAAGATTAAGAGAAATACGGTGGTATTATGATCCTCAATTTCAAGGAACTGGAGCCAGGCATGGTGACTCATGCCTGTAATCCCAGCACTTTGAAGGCCAAGGCAGGTGGATCCCTTGCGCCCAGGAGACGGAGACCAGCTTGGGCAACCTGGTGAAACCCTATCTCTAAATATAGAAAAATTAGTCAAATATAGTGCCTGTGGTCCCAACTACTTGGGAGACTGAAGTGGAAGGATCCCTTGAGCCTGAGAGGTTGAAGCTGCAGTGAACCATGATTATGCCAGTACACTCCAGCCTGGGCAACAGAGCAAGACCTTGTCTCAAAGAAAAAAAAAGTAATAAACTGGGAATTCTATGGATTAAAAATAATGATAAAAGACTTTTCAATAAGTATATTTAAAAAGTTTTGTTTCCAGAAAAGTTTTACACATTGTAGTTTTAAATATTACTTATGTTTTTGTTCCATTGCTTTGTTTTTCTTCTTCGGGGACTTTAATTATATGTGACTTGGACATTATTTGTTTATCTTCTATTTCATCTACTTTCTCTGACTTTTTATTTCTTTATCTTATTTACAGTCTTTTAAATATTTTCCCACTTTTTCTCAATGCTCCTTATTATATTTTCATTCAAAACTATTCTTCCTCGGGTATTTCAGAATTTAGTCTTGAGATATGATATACTTTTTACTTTTTCAAATATTTTTTCCTCAGTTGTTATCTTGTTTTATTTCTTCTTTATTGTTGCTGATTTCTGTGCTTAGTTTTTACATTTATGACTCAAGATTGTTTTCAGATCCCGAAATACTCTTTTTGGAACATCTAATTTAGCTTGGAGTGCTGTGCTACAGGTTTCTTCTGCAACTTTATTATTATTATTCCTTGGTACAGCCGGGACTTTCATCGGGTAAATCATTTGGATTCTCATTTTCTGTTCTATTCTTAGAGTAGTTTGTATAGGCAAAGATTGTTTACATCTCTGTATTTTTGCAGGCTGGACTAGTGACTGGGAGTAGCATGTGAGATTGCTAATTCAAATGGATATTTGTCCATCAGTGTAGCAAATTACACTATTTTATCATTGATTTGTTGTTTTTTGGTGTTCTTTTGATTTGTTTTGATAGTCCTGGATACCTTTCTTGTTTAGAAGGGAGAAGGGCAGTGTGTGGAAGGGCTGTGTGCACCTTGATTTTTCTCTTTTTACAGGATTCTCATTTTTCTTTCTTGCTCCCTTTTGCCTTCATTGGACATTTCTAAAGGATGCCGCTACCTTTCCTTTAACCCCTTTCTCACCTGTGTCATTACTATTTCAAAGTTGTTTTCTCACTTCCACACTATTCCCAGTAACCCCGCCCGCCCCACCCCACCCCGGCCGTCATAGTCAGTGCTGCCGTCAGCCCTGCAGCACAGCTGTGAGGCTTCCTTGCTTACACGGATTCTCTCTCTGGAAGTGGTTTCAGAACAGTTTTAGGTGTCCTTCTAGCTCCACTGTTCTCTCTTTCATGAACTTTTCCCAAAACCTCAGTGCTCTCACAAACAAAGCTTTGCAGCAGGCACATGGAAAACTGGTTCACTGCCACTAAATGTTTTCTTTTCTATTTTCAGTCATTTTAAACTTTGGATGCGTTTGCAATGAATTCCTTTTTTATTTTTTGCCTTGACATTCACTTTGAATAGAAGCTTAATTTTCTCACTCCAGAAGCAGGGCTCAGTCACCCTTGCTTGACACAGTTTCTCGTCCTTCTCCTCTCCCCAGTGCCTCAAAACGCTCAGCCCAGATATCTGCCATAAACAACCACCTCCCGGTGACCACCCGCTATGAGCCAGCCAAATACAACCTACTTTCCTCCACCCACTGACCCCCCACCCCACACCCTGCCTGGGCCATGAGCATGTGCTGCAGTGACCCAGCAACCACTTCTAGCCACAGCGCGACCCACTGTCAGAACTCCCCATGGAAAAGCCATTTGAGTCATGCTCCGGACCCGAACAAAGGCCTTGGCCCAGCGGTTCTCACTCTCTCTTGCTCCCTACCTGCCGGTGGAGCCAGGGTGTTTCAGGCTGTTCCCCCTCCCTACCACCCCTGCGAGTTATGCTGCCCGCTTTTCTCTGGGATCTGTAAGTGACAAATCGCCATTTCATGTGTTTTGTTCTGTGGCCTCCTCTGTCCCTCACCTGACAGGCACACATGAACCTCACCTTTTCCGGCTAGGGCTCTCCCAGAGACTGGCTCTCTTTGTAGGAATAAACTAGACACACACCAGACAATGGCCACAAGGGCTTCTGCCGGGGCAGTCGGGTTTCTTGTGAGAGAGACATCTGCTCACAGGTCGGACACTTAGGCATTAAGCCTGAGGGCCAGATAAAAAAGCATCCCATGAAGGGCATCCTCCAGCAGCCCCCCAAGGCCCATCATGGCAGGGCTAGAGTTCATAGCCACCCTTGTGTGAGAGACCTCAAGACCAAATTGGAGGGCAGTTGCAGTAGTTCATGCCTGTAATCCCAGTACTTTGTGAGGCTGAGATGAGTGGATCACTTGAGGTCAGAAGTTCAAGAGCAGCCTGACCAACATGTTGAAACTCCATCTGCACTAAAAATACAAAAATTAGCTGGCCATGGTGGCACACACTTGTAATCCCAGGTATCCGGGAGGCTGAGGCAGGGAATTCATTTGAACCTGGGAGATGGAGGTTGCAATGAATTAGATCACCCCCCTGTACTGCAGCCTGGGTGACAGAGCAAGGCTCCATCTCAAAAAAAAAAAAAAAAGAAAAAAAAAAAAAAAAAAAAGACCAAACAGAGCAAAATACAAAGCTCTCCGTCTTCTAGTTACACTGAAGGCAAATTTTGTTTTTTGGTTTTGTTTCTTGTTTTGCTCTCTTGAAGATATTTTAGATGTTGCAGGTTTCCTTTAATTTTAAAAATCATACAAACAGTATGCCCTATCCAACTGTGATTTGATCCTGGAAAAAAATACAGGGAGGTTATATTAGAAGAGCTTTGTAAGTTAAAAAGCAGTAAGACTATTCAAAGTGTCTTAGATCTGTAGCCCTCTCTCCTGTTGGTAAGTCTTCAGGGGACCACCAAAAAAAGACAGGAAATTCCTTGAGAAACTTCCCTAAACTCTCTCCATGGAAACGTCGTACTTAGCAGAATATCCCAGTCACATATACGATGGCCTCTGCAAGTGGCCAGACCAGGAAACAATGCAATAGTAGGCTTGTCACATCGCTTTAAGATCTTATTACAGAATAATCTAAACGTAGATCAGATCCACCACTCACGCCTCACCTGTCGTTGCGCTCCAGGGCTGCTTTGATGGCTTTCACGAGCATCCTCAGCTCCTCCCTGGCGAGATCCACATCTGCTGTCTTCACTGGCCTCTGCTCCAGCCCCTCGAGTTGAGCCAGAAGAGCCTAGGCAGGACCAGTCACGTGAGGTGAGACAAGCACTCGGGGAGAAGGGGAAGGCTCCCTTTTTTATTTGTCATGAATGTGTTTTCAAGGTGCCCTGGGTTAAGGTACACATTCTAGCTGAAATAGGTAAACCGGGAGGATTGAAGGGAGGGATGGCCATTGGGGGAGGGATGGCCCAATGGTGACGTTCCCAGTAAAATATGTTTATCAGTATGTTAAGAGTTAATTTTTCTAAGAAATGGAAAGATGGTAGTGAACTCCCCTGTGGGCCTGTGTAGGGGGAAGGACACCGTGGATGAAGTCCTGGCACTTTGTCAGTGGTACCGCAATCGTTTCTTCTACAGGACTAAGAAGCCAAATCAATGCGATTGCCATCCGCAGATGTAAAGCAGTGCCGTGTTCAAATGGGAAGCCACAGAGATCCTGGCCTCGTCAGAGGATGGGCTGCTAGGGTCACAGACACAGAAAGAGGCATCCAGGGCCCTGCTGGCCTGGGAATTCTTCATGCTCACATTTGACCGAGACAGGGACGTATGTCACTTTCTCACTCAACCTCACAACCTAAGGAGCAAGGCAGATTCCCCACTGGAAGCTTCGCTCACATTCTTGTAAAGACAAAGGCTGCTTCTGTGTTATGGAAAGGCTTGGCACAAAGAAAATGGTGCTCACGTCTGATTTGAGATGAAGGAGCGAACTAGAACTCATCTCCTTGTAATGCTGTGATTTGTTTCTTCATATACAAAAGAAGCAACTGTCTTTCCTAATTTATGAAGTAAAATAAATCTTTAAAGCTTATTGAATTCAAAATGCCAAAGTTATCTTTGCTACGGTGTTCAATTTTCTTAGGCTTTATAATTGATAAGGTTATCCCTGCAGTACATTTTCTTATTCAACCAATCACATGTTTAACCCAGCCCTTGAGAGAATACCTGGAACGCTGTCACCCATTAAAAGAAGAGATCATGGGGTTTTGAGCCAGCTGACAGCACACTAGCCATCATAATGCATTCTCAGTGTTTTCGCCAGGGTATGAACTGGACAATGGTTTTTGGTGCTTACTGGCAGAGAACCATTTATATTCCCAATTTATACATATATAGTTATGTGGCTTGTTTGAGAGTATAAAGAATGCTATGCCAATCCAAAGTGAAGTTTTTTACCAATAACGTTCTTAAGGCAGTATAAGCTCACTTATAATAAAAAAAAAAATCAGCTCTTCTAAATTAAGGGGCACACATGGGGCTTGTGGGATTCAGGAAGGTTTCCACTGCTCGTGAAATATGAAGCCATGAATAAGCAGGCTCCATTCAGACTCTTCACAATTGATCATCACCTCGTACTCTGCTGGGGGCTGGGACTCCAGGAGCGTCGCCATGTAGAGTTCGTATTCATCCTGTACAGAAACAAACAAAAAGTCCACTGGCTATGCGTGGGGAGGCCACAGTGCAAGCGTTTCATGTGTATAAATAATACGGAAGTTAAGAATGTTCATTTACATCATTTCAAAAAAATATAAAATGTTCCTACAATGCATTAAACGGTATACCTGTTCACATTTTTAAATCACACCATCTTTGAAGCACATTTGAGTATTAAGTATTAATTACCCCAGAATATCATAAAATATTATACAACAAAATATAGAATATTGATCACTTCAGAATGTCATAAAACACCTTGACACACATACAACAAATGATCTCCCGCCATGCAGAAGGTCTGTGGAATCCGGTCCTACCGGCCACCAGGATGAGCCTCCGGGTGATGAGGCGTGGCTGGAGAACAGGCCACCAGGTCTCCCTTGTTAGGCATTCCTTGTCATTAGTAAAATTAAAAAATAGCATAATCTTTAAGCAACATGATCTCAATTCAGATTCTATATGAAGGTCACTTTCTTTTTCTTTTTTTATTTGCAGCCTCCGTTTCCTGGGTTCAAGGGATTCTCCTGCCTCAGCCTCTGAGTAGCTGGTATTACAGGCACACACCACCATGCCTGGCTAATTTTTGTATTTTTAGTAGAGATGGAGTTTCACCATGTTGGCCAGGCTGATCTTGAACAGCTGACCTCAAGTGATCCACCTGCCTCAACCTCTCGAAGTGCTGGGATTACAGGCGTGAGCCACTGCACCCAAAGGTCACTTTCATCATGAAATTGCAACAACCTGTAATTTCATAAGGATTTATATAGAATGACACATGTAATGTTAAAATAACTAATTATTAATTTATTTGAATTATAATAATTTAAAATAAAAAGTTTGTTACTGATGTGTAATTTATAAAAGGTTGCGTATAATCAGGAAGTTTTAGTGGGAAAATATGGGCTTAAGAAGTGAGCTAACTGTGTTGATTCCACATGGCCCCTGTACAATTTACGTGCCTGCAGGCAGATGACCTCGAGTCTCTGCTAATGATGGTCCCCATCTGTAGAAGGGGGCCCGTGATAGCTAGCAGAATTTCTGTGAGGCTTGAGATCATTCATGTACACAGAACCTCATGCAAGCTTCTCAATTGTTATGTTGAAGATAATGTGTTTCTCACCTTAATTTCTTTCAAGAGATCACCAAATATCAAAGAACTCTTGCAAATATCTTCAAAGACTTTTCCAAAGACGTGCAGTCTGTTGAACGGCTGAGGGCTGCATGTGTGCATTTTCTGGAGCTCCTGGTGGAAAAACAGAGTTAGCCCATTTTAGGACAGCTCCGTTTTTCTTCCAGAACCGAGTTTCTCAGGAGTCAGGGAGGACACAGCGGCCATGACCCTGGTGACTGGGCAGGTTGGCACAGGGGCCCATACCCAGGAGCTCTGATCCCTCCCACCAGCTGCCGAGCTTCTTCGCTTCCCTGGTCATCCAAGATTTGGGATTGTTTTTAACTCTTCTTCTTTATTCGCTCTCTCGCTCCCTGTCCTGAAGGGTTCAATCTCTGCCTCCCCAGGCCCTCAAGGCCCTTTCTCTCTTCCAACCCTGAGGTCTGGCTGCTTCCTGGGGGACCTGCTATTCCCTTCTCCCTGTGCATGCTCCCTATTTGGAGGTGGACCGCCTCCCATCAGCTGTTCTCCTCTGAGTCAGCAGCCCGTCCTCGATCTTCCCCTCACACCAGCACCTTCTGCAGACACATGCTGCCTGGGCATAGTTCAGGGCGTGACAGTGCCCATCAGCGCTCCATCTCCCCCCACTGCTCTTCCACAGTCAGGCAGGCAAGCCCTCTCTCAGACTCCTCGGCTGACCCACGAACATCTGATTTACTGTTGCAGCCATATGGCCTCCAATGTGCCTGCGATGGGCCTCCCCCAGCTTACCAGTTCCCAGACTGCTTCCTCCTCCCTTTTACCCAATCTGTCCCCATCAAAAGTGTTAATGCTTCAGGCACCTGGGGCAGTACTGTGCTATACCTGGATGTGGCAGGGAAGCCTCAGAGGATGAGCCGGTCCCTGCACCGAGAGCTCTGCACCGGGAGTACTGAACCAAGAGCACTGAACCAAGAGCACTGCACCGAGAGCACTGCACTGAGAGCACTGCACAGAGAGCACTTAACAGAGAACGCTGCACTGAGAGCACTGCACAGAGAGCACTGCACTGAGAATGCTGCACTGAGAGCACTGCACAGAGAGCACTGCACTGAGAATGCTGCACTGAGAGCACTGCACCGAGAGCACTGCACTGAGAGCACTGCACAGAGAGCACTGCACCGAGAGCACTGCACAGAGAGCACTGCACAGAGAGCACTGTACTGAGAGCACTGCACAGAGAGCACTGCACTGAGAACACTGCACTGAGAGCATTGCACAGAGAGCACTGCACAGAGAGCACTGCACTGAGAACACTGCACTGAGAGCACTGCACAGAGAGCACCGCACTGAGAACACTGCACTGAGAGCACCACAGGGCTGCCCTACTCACCTGCTGCAGCTTTCTCTCATGGCCCTTGGCCACCTTGCTCCCAGTGAAGTCATTTTCCAGGAGATCTTGCTTGGCGAGCACTTCCTTCTGGAAGCGCAGGAACATCCTGTAGCTGTCGGCCTTGGTGACCCCAGCCAGGTAAGAGCTGACATAGCGGTGCTGGTCCCTGGTGCCTCTGAGCCCGGCCTCCTGGTATTGCAGCACCTTCATGTCGGGCAGCCAGAGTTCTTCCCTCCCGCGCCATCCAGGTGGGCCTCTGTGCGTCTCCTCCGTCCCTTCTCCAGGAGCCACCACTGGAAGGAGATCCTCCTCTGAAGTGTGGGCAAGAGAGGCCTGGGGGTTCAGGTACCTGAACAATGGCGTGTCCTGGGCATCGCTGGGGACCAGCGCCGTGTGTATGGTGAAGCGGGCCAGGGCCTCCTTCATCCTTGCCACCTGTCCTGCAGGCGGCTCTCCCACCCCAAAGACACGCTGCTCCCGGGGCCGGTTGGCATTGGGCCAGTGCTGTAAGACCGTCTCGGGAGGCCGGTAGAGCTTGTTGGGGTTCAGGTGTCCAGAGATGTACAGGGAGACGTCCTCCTGGTGGTCTTTCTGAAGCCGGTTCAGAAGTTTCTTCAGATTGCACAGGGTCTTCACGCCTGGCGTCTCACAGTGCTTCCACTTCAGGTAAACTGGTCAGAAAAGAAAAAGAGGCTTTTAGGGATGCTCTTAGTTCACAGTAAGTCAGCAGGTGCACTGGCTGAGAGGCCTAGCCCCTGCCCAAATAGAGGGTCTACAGAGAAACCGATGAACAGAGTACATGGCCCAGTCCTTAAAAGTGAAAGACAGCTGTGGTGGCTCATGCCTGTAATCCCAGCACTTTGGGAAGCCAAGGCGATGGATCACCTGAGGTCAGGAGTTCAAGATCAGCATGGCCAACATGGCGAAACCCCATCTCTACTAAAAACACAAAATAAGCCGGGCGTGGTGGCGCATGACTGTAATCCCAGCTCACCGGGGGGCTGAGGCAGGAGAATCAATTGAACCCAGGAGGCAGAGGTTGCGATGAGCTGAGATTGGGCCACTGTCCTCCAACTTGGGTTACAGAGTGAGACTGAATCTAAAAAAAAAGTCAAAGACACCCATGCCAGGTGTGATGTGCTGCTGCAGATGAGAGGCGGACAGGCTCCCAGGATGTGCAAGCCAATCAGAACGCTCAGGGCCCTCAAAGCCAACAAGAGAAAGATAGAATATCTTAATTTGGGAGAGTATTTCTTACAATATTAGCAAAAGCTCTGAAAAAAAGTGCAAAATCTTAATTATAATTCTTAATGATGATGCTTAAAGACGTCTTCTTTAATGTACTTCACATGCCGGGAATACAGAAAGGGTCTGGGGGGCTTCGTGAATGCTGAAACGTCTCAGGAGTCCCTGACTAAACCCCTCAATGACCATTGGGCCACTCAGCCCTTCCTGCACCCTCCCCACAGAGCCAACCTGAGGGCATACTGAACCACAGCTGCTTCCTCTGCAACATCAGAATCATCAACTATACAAAATGGTTGACTGACACTCAGATGGAATCACTTTTGGCAAAGGGCACCACGGCCCCAAGGAGATACTCCGTAAGTTCAACCCATTTTTGCTGCAGGTCTGTAGTGCAGACAGTACTCTCAGCAGAAGGATGCTGGAGAATCACTCATGATGATGGACTTAGTTCTTCAGAGAAAACACGTATGAAATGATTAATAGAACAAATTCTCCAAGACAACAATCACTGTAATTCATCCCAGGCATGAACACTCCAAGTTCTAAAAGGCATCTTGTACCAACTCCGTGGAAGATCGAAGAAGGACGCAACTACATTGTTGCTGTGTCATCCTTTGTTACTGAGCACTTCAGATAGAGCAAGAGCAGCCCAGAATTGTCCCTTCATTTGCTGTTTCCAACCCAAGAAGGAGAGTTTCTTTCTGGGACGCTGTACTGTGATGGCCAACGGACAGCCGGCCGTCCATACCCTCCTCAGAGAGCCTTGCTCCATCCAGCGCAAAGCAAACCATCCGTCCCCGAGTCAACCGAGGCGGCCGAATACTAGAGCCAATGCCCTCAGCAGAGGGATGCCAGAGAATCACCCGGAGGGCCAGGTGCAGGACCTCACACCAATAATCCCAGCACTTTGGGAGACTGAGGTGGGTGGATCACAAGGTCAAGAGATCGAGACCTCGAGACCATCCTGGCCAACATGATGAAACCCCATCTCTGAAAAAAAAAAAAAAAAAGAAGAAGAGAGATTCGAATCGCCCTGTGGATCAACTTCGTCCTTCAGAGCAGCCACTTAGGAAAGGATTTAATAGAACAAATTCTCCAAGACAACAATTATTGTCATTCATAAAAAGCAATTCATAAATTATTGTAATTCATAAAAAACTACTCCATGGAAGATGGATGAAGGAGGCAACTTCATTGCTGCTGTGTTGTCCTTTATTTTATTTCCAAGAAGGATTTGAAACCACCAGCAAGTCAACTGGTACAATCATTTCCCCACTTCAAATGCTTTTTCTTTCTACTGTAATAATACCTGCTCCAGATTCCACTTCTGTCTGCCATGTCCTTATAATATATAACACAAATCTCCATAGTGGAAATAAATATTTTAATTATTTTCCTATCTGAAAATATTGGTGTGTGTGTGTGTGTGTGTGTGTGCGTGTGAGAGTGTGTGTGTGTCCCGCCATCTCAACCTGAGAAAGCAAACAAAAAATGAAAAAAACAAAGTTTTAAGAATTTCTTAGAAAATGTGATTATTTTACAAATGATCTGCAAACAAATTTGCTTTAAGTAAAACCAAATCAACTTTTGAATGTGTATTGAAGAGGAAGATGTAGCAATAGGTCTTTAGACTAGTTTGGAATAAATATTGCCAAATGTTAGTATTAAGCTTTTTTTTTTTTTTTTTTTTTTTTGAGCTGGAGTCTCGCTCTCTTGCCCAGGCTGGAGTGAAGTTCAGCGGCACGATCTCTGCTCACTGCAGCCTCCACCTCCTGCATTCAAGCAATTCTCCTGCCTCAGACTCCGCTACCACATCCGGCTACTTCTTGTATTTTTAGTAGAGACAGGGTTTCACCATGCTGGCCAATAGGTCTTTAATTTCAAAATTATTACAAATCAGGCCAGGTGCTGTGGCTCACGCCTGTAATCCCAGCACTTTGGGAGGCCGAGGCAGATGGATCACTTGAAGTCAGGAATTTGAGACTAGCCTGGCCAATCTGGCAGAACCTCTTCTCTACTAAAAAATACCAAAATCAGCCAGGTGTGTTGGTGGGCACCTGTAATCCCAGCTACTGGGAGGTTCAGGCACCAGAATCGCTTGAACCCGGGAAGTGGAGGTTGCAGTGACGAAATAGCACCATTGCACTTTAGCCTAGACGACAGAGTGAGGCTCCGCCTAAAAATAAAATTACAATCACTGTCCTATGTTATCTGATCTGTGGGAAACTAAGAATCCCACAGAAATTCTCCCTGGTCTCATTCTAGAACATTCATATTCCCTCTGTGTTTCTGCCCTCTGCCTCCTCTGCCCCCACCCTAAAGTTAGTACACATCCTAGGAAATGTATTCCTGGAAAGATCTGAGAACAGAGCAGCAGGCCCAGACCCACAGGCCCTCTGCCTGGGGGCTGGTGTGGCCAGAGGAGCCAGGGAGGCTGGGGCAGGCCTGGCCAGCGGGGATCTGTCCTGGAGTCCTGGCACCCCCTCCAAGAATCCTTGCAGAACTCACAAAGAGCGTCCGTCACCTCTTGTGTCCATACTACCCACTGGAGAATCTTTTCAAACTCCACTGAGATTGCAATCCGGCCTTTCCTGAACCCGCAAATAAACATCTGTTGTCTGCCCCACACTGTGATTGAAGGTGGGATGAATGTGAGCCCCCAGGAACCTAGAAATCCCATAGGGAGTGAGATACAGACCCCAGGCAAGAGGGACCTGAGCCCAGAGGAGAAGCACATGCCTCAGGTGGACTCTATCGCAGGGTGAAATGTGGAAGCAGAATGATGGGACCCAGAGCTATCCACCCTGACGCCAGACCAGGGCAAGAGGTCTTTACAGGTTTAATTCGGGTCATGGGCCTTAAAATAAAGAGCTGAGTCTGGATGGTCAAGGCTCCAATCTAATTACATGAGCCCCTAAAAGCAGAGTTTTCCTGGCAAGAGTCAGAGGGAGAGGTGGAAGAAAGGGGGTCAGGGAGGTTGCAGGGAGAGGAAGCTTCCAGGCTCACTGGATCCCAGGGGGAAGCCGAGGAAGGAGGCCTCTGCAGAGGCCAGACGGAAGGAGACTTCTTAGAGCCAGGGCCCCTCTTGACAACCGGCAAATCCCCCACCACAAGGACAGGGTCAAGCCAGCAAGTCCACTGGGCCTGGAAGAGGTTGTTCCCCAGAGCCCCTCCAAAGCAGCAGAGCTGACCTTCCCACCGGGTCCAGCCTGGTGAGGGCCTCAGCTCTCTGTATACAAGAAGAAAAAGACAACCCTGCAAGGACTGAAAGACCCCTTTTCAAAATAATTCCCACTGTCTATGTCACAGCGGATGTGTGGGATACTGATTCAATCTGCACAGCAGCCTGGGAGGTAGGCGCCATCTCTGCCTCCTTTACAGGTGAGGAAACCGAAGCATGGGTGTCCGATGGTCAGCTACCTCCAAGGCCCATGCTCTCAACCTACCCACTCACCTGCACAGAAAGAGCACTAAATGCATTCTGACATCATACAATAAAATTTCTTTTAAATCAAGGATTTAAAATTTATTTTTAAAATTTTTCTTGATTTAAAATAAGTCGAGACTACTTTGCTCAGTCCAGCAAGCTTTCCCTCTGCCCGAATTTGTCTGAAGCAGTCAGTAATCCTGTTTCTGTGCCAGCACAGGGCGGGTGGTGGGAAAAGCAAAGGCTTTGAAGTTAAAAGACCTGGGCGGACCTCCCGACAGACTCCCCTTCGTAAAATCACATTAATAGCCTCAGCTCTCAGGGCCACGGAGACTAAATAAAGTCAGAGACGGCAAAGCTCTTCTGACTTGACGCATGTGGCCACGCCGAGCTTTGTGGTCGTTCAGAGGCGTGCGGAAGGGCAGCATGCTGGGAAACGCTCCGAAGGGTGGCTTTTTAAGATCACACTCTGAACTAACAGCCTTGCTGCTTCGTCCCTCCTCCTCCTCAGGTGTCCAGAGACTCCAACACACTGTGCGTCCGTGCAGGTCCACACTGGATGGCTGGCACACCCACATGGCGCTCACCCTCCACCTTTGTACTTTGCATGCTGGTTTTAGATTCTCTGAGAAGGCAGCACAACCCCAATCTAATCGTCATCCCTCGTGACCCTGGAGCCCACGTGCAGCCACCAGAGAAAGATTTTCACATTTCAAATCAGTCTTCAGAAGCCCCTCCTTCCACAACCGATCATCAAGCAAATCTCACAAGCCAACAGGAGCCGCTCCAGGACACTTACATTCAGGCTCCGGCCCCTGGGCCATGGCTTCCTTCCCTCCAGCTGCCCGGGCTGGGCTGTCGCCATGGAAACCACAAACATTCTAAGCCCGCCTTGGCTCCCTCGCTGTGGAGCAACCAGGCACAGCCCCTGCTGTGGAACCGCCCTCCAACCCCTCCCCTCTTCTGTGTCTCCAGCCTTCTTGAGCAGGGAGTATTGGTGTTTGCTTGCTCGTTTTACGTTTAACAGCGAAACGCTTTCTGTGATCTAAACAATGTCAAAGTATCCTTGCACTCCCTGATTCCTCTCAAAGCCCAGAAGGTAAAAGATAACTGGTCTTCAGGTATCTCCTATAGAAATGTGCAGATTGGACCCATCCCACTGTACCTGGAGATCCAGCACAGAGTAGGTGCCAGCCACTAAGTGATCGTTTCGTTGCTTTTTTATTATTATCTATATATTTTCTAGTGGGCAATTGAGATCCCGTGGGGTAATTTGCCCAAGGTCAGTTAGCAGGGAGTGGAATTTGCAGATGTGTAACTGCACGTCTGTGTGACTGCAAAGTCCACCCTCTCTCCTTAGGCCATCCCATGTGTCAAGGGAGGGAAAAGCTCGGACCCCTATGTTTGAAAACTGTAGTTCTGTTTATATGTCCTGCAGTCAGAAAGAGGGCAGTGGAAGGGCAATCCTCCTGGCTCTTAGAAGGGACTTTGACACCAACCCTCACTATTTTCAGCCCTGAAATGAGAAAGACAGTCACGTAGGCATTACGGGCTGTGAGGATGGAATTATACGGTTCTGTGAGTGAGGCAGGGCACACAGCGTCTTTCGTTGCTTCCTTCCTGTTGATGCCGCCTATTAGTTCAAACTGCACCATTCTGTAAGCCCGGTACCCTTCTGCAGGCCCTGGTCAAAGTGAAACATTCCACGGGGCTTCAGGCCAGGAGAAACATTCTGCCCACCACCTGCTGTTTTTATCATACCCCGCCAGGCAAAGCCCCAGCTGAGGGACATCCCCATCATATCCTGCTGGGCAAAGATCCAAGGAACACCCTATCACATCCCACCCAAAACAGGGACAAATCATCTCATCAACATCTTCCTGGGCAGCAGGCTATGCACCCCGCCCAGACCTTTAATTGCCCCAGCCTGTAAGCAGCAGAGGGCACTGGCAGTGACCTGGTCTCCTATCTCTGCAGGTCTTATGCTGGACAGAGAATCTGAGTGGCTATAGAGCGGCCAATAATCTGCCTTCCTTTAACCCCTGCCTTCCCTTCAAAACCTAACATTGGGCAGATACTTGAAACGTGAACCTTCTGGAAACCAAGAAGTTGCCAGGACCCTCACCTGCTCAGGAGGCTTCATCACCAGGTGCATTGAAATTCCACCTGTGGAAAGGTAACCGCAGGGCTTACTGCATGTCTCTCTGCAATGTGCATGGTAGTTGGGCATCTTCACCATGACAGAAAGGTCGACATGAAGGTGCCCTGGTTGCCTGAGGATGTCTCAGTGTGGGCACCAGAGAGGAAACGCTGTGTGCCCCTCAGCTTCAGTCCCTTATGGAGTAGCTCACAGGGCAGCAGTCCAGGTTCCTAGACAAGCAGCTACTAGGGATGAAGAAACAATCTCTATACTCAGAATCCCTTAGTAAATTACTCCGTTTTGTAAGTTCTAGAATAGCCCATGGTCTCCACAGTGCGCAGACAGGCAGAAAGCTGACAATAGGTGTTCTCCACTTTTCTTTCCCAGGTGGGCAGGAGGCACAGAGGGCCCCTCTGCAGGCCCTGGGAGAGTCAGTGATGAGGAGAGAGCCCCCTGCGAGAGCTGCTCACCTCTGGGGTTCAGCTTCCGCTACTCTCACTCCTGCTCCTTGGCACAGACATGAACTTGACTCATTTTACTTGGAATTGCAGACTACTGGTTTAGATCAAAAGAAAATAGTTTTTTTTCAGGACTTCAGTTTCTCCCAAGTCGCCCCTCACGGCAGAATACAAGTGTAGTTAACAGTATTCATCCACTCCTTCCTTATACGCTACCAAGATCAGAAAGCCAATGACCAAATCAGTATCAGGCCTTAAAAGCCCACTTGTGGCTCTCCTGTTGGCAAATATTTCATCAAAGCATTTGCGGCAGAAACACACTTAATCACGACGTTATCAGTGTAATGAATTGATGTGCCAGAAGCACACTGGCTCTTCCCTGAGGCCAGACTTCCATGTAGAAATGGCCAGGAACTGCTCAGCAGGCAAATTGCTCCTGCAGATGTTTCAGTGACTATGGCTGCTGTTTTGCTTATCCACTCTAGATAGCACTTGAACACATCCTAGAACACTGGGCCACTGAATGCAACCCAAGGGCGAGACCACCATTCTACGATCCCAACTAATCCATGCGTCCACCCGTCCTTTCATCCTACCCCTCATTCTGGAGAAAAGAAAATTAAAAATAAAAAAGCATTGTTTAATATTGTTTCTTTGCTAAGACTGCAGAAATGCATAATTAATTCTCTACTTTAGGGAATGGAGAGGAGACAGCTGGGGAGTAAAATGCAGTGTGATGTGAGCAGCAGCGGAGAAGGGATGGAGAGACAGAGGGAGGAGTAAAGGATGCTCATCTCATGGGCTGCGGAGGCTGCCAGGGAGACCACCTGTTCTAAGGGAGCAGGATGGGTGAGCGGGAGTCCTTATCAATTACAGGGGTTGGGGGAGCATCAGCCAGAAGAACTGATAGGTTCCAAAAGGGAAGAGGTCACAAATAAGTGATTCCACTTACTGCTCTTCAGCTATTGGAATCTGCCACGCAGAAATGAACCAACTTGCAGTAACTTTTAAAACATCTTAGTGCTTCCTGAGCTCTGGAGAAACTGAATGACGCTTTTAAGAAATTTTAGATATACAGCAAACCAAATGCTGGCCTGGCAGGACGATGTGGGGCTGGGGGTGGGATGAGAATCCTGGGATGGGCAGGAGCAGAGTCAGGAGGGAGATTCAATTGGTCCCTGAAGGTGGCTGAAGAGTCATCAAGAGTCACTGACAGTTATCTCTCTCTCTCTCTCTCTCTCTCTCTCTCTCTCTCTCTCTCCCTCTCTTCCTCTCTCTCTTCCTCTCCTCTCTCTCTTTCTCTCTCTCTTGCATCATTCATCCTTGCTTTTCTACAGGAACATTTCTATCAGAAAACTAACATGCTCATTTCTCATCTCAAAAACACATAAAAACAAGACTTTTGTGTTTACGCCACACCTGTCTAAGGCAGGTATTCGACACACCAGATCCAGATCAAAGCCTGTCACAAGGAAGGAAGCCTGGCCTGCCCACCAAGGAGGAGGAAGCTCGAAGCCCTTGCCCCACCTGCGTTCTCTGTAAGGGGTCTCCTACGGCACTGTTATCTGTGGCACAGATGGGCTATTTCTACTTTTCCCAAAGCTTCTCCTGTGAAACCTGTATTTTGCCCTAACAGTAATTTTCTGTAATATAGCTTTATTTTTGAGTGGTATTTGAGAGCAAAATAACTATAATTCCTCTGAAAGTTTGAAAAATCCATGAAGAAATGGTACAGAAAGAACACACCTCTTGAGGGGCTCCCTAACATCCCGTCCCCACTCACCGCCTACCCAATAAGCCCCTTTCCTCCTTTGGAAAGTAAAACAAACCTTCATTCAATGACATTTGTACATAAAAACTGCATTTCTTGGTCTGCAACATGCTGTTTATCACTCATTTACACCTGTTTCCAAAACCTCCATTATTTTTTCAAGTGTGAAAATGATTTGGGCATCTTGGGTCAGGGCAGGAGACATCCTGATTCCCTCATTAAGTGAGAGGTAGGTGAGTAATGAAAATGCCCCCAGCACATCCCACACCCTCTGGCCACTCTCTTCAGAGACCACCCATCTGAGCATATGCTTATACAACTTCTCTCAGACAGCCGGTGTAGACCAGAAAATTCACTTCCCACCATCTCTCCGTCCTTTCTCCTCTGCAATGACCGTGGGCCACTCCCACTCCCTCTGCCTTTTCTTTTTTTCTTGAAAACATATCTTTTTTTTTTTTTTTTTTTTTTTGAGAGGGAGTTTCATTCTTGCACAGGCTGGAGTGAAATGGCACTATCTCAGCTCACTGCAATTTCCAACACCTGGGTTCAAATGATTCTCCTGCCTCAGCCTCCCAAGTAGCTGGGATAACAGGTGCATGCCACCACGCCAGGGGCTAATTTTTGTATGTTTAGTAGAGATGGGTTTTCACCATGTTGAGCAGGCTGGTCTTGAACTCCTAACCTCAGGTGATCTGCCCACTTTTGCCTCCCAGAGTGTGGGGATTACAGGCATGAGTCACTGCACTTGGCCAAAAACGTATCTTGGAAATCATTCTGTTCCAGTACATAAAAAGCACTTGACTTTTTACATGGCTGGGGAGTGTTCCATTGTATGGGTCTACTGTGATTTATTCCATCCAGAGAGCACTGATGGACATACACGCTGTTTCCATTTTTTTGCTATTAAATCCCACTGCTGGTCCTTGGGTCACTTCCTGTGTGTTTGAACCTGTGGGTGAACACAGAGCTTGAGTACCTGGGGTGGAATCACCGAGTTTTTCAGCATCTAGAGGCATCCTGGCTCCCGGGCCCTTCCCTCTTCTGCAAAGCCAGTGAGGCTGGGCAAGGCTTTCTCACACCACAGACACCTTCCTGCCTCTCTGTTCTCTGCCTTTTTTTTTTTTTTTTTTTTTTTTTTCAATTTTTTGAGATATGGGTCTTACTCTGTCCCCCAGGCTGGAGCATAGTGGCGCCATCTCCGCTCCGCTCACTGCAACCTCCACCTCCTGGGTTCAAGTGATTCTCCGGCCTCAGCCTACCAAGTAGCTGGGATTATAGGTGCTCATCACTACCATACCTTGCTAATTTTTGTATTTTTAATAGACACGGGGTTTCACAATGTTGTCTGGGCTGGTCTTGAACTCCTGAACTCAGGTGGTCTGCCCACCTCCGCTTCCCAAAGTGCTGGGATTGCAGGCGTGAGCCACCGTGTCTGACCTGTTCTCTGTACAAGGAACCCTGTGATGGCACTGCACTGGCCCGGAGAG